ATCTCGAATATCGTGCCAACTGAATCATGAGGCGGCCTGTGTGCAGCACATTCAGTTGTAGAATATCATAAACGAGAGATTCAGTTGAGTCTCTCGTTAAAACCAAACTGATAATCAAATGAGTGTATTTCCCTTGTATTTCTATTGTTCACGGCGAAACGATTCTTGCTAGCTGGTTGGGAGGACGTTTTCCATGGCTAATAATGTAATAGGTTAGCACGATCGCAGGGTGTTCTGAAGTTGTGCTGTGCTAAAACACCATCACAGTTACTACGAGGGGCTATATGGTGAGCATATGAGTATCACCAGAATGTAGATTTTGGTTCGAAAATACTAACAGTGCCCAAATATTGATCAACAGGTAGAAAGAATATTAAATAACTGTAAAAAACGTTCCAAATGGGGGCTTCAGAAATCTGTCGGGCCTAATTTTTGGCGCTGACCTGATAAACCGCGGCAAAAACTTCACATAGACTACTTCGGTGTGGTAAGTCAAATGATATGTTTAAATGTAAGTGACGCTGAGTCAAAGCGAATCGAAGTACATCCAGTCAAACCACGATTCCGAGATAAAAATGTGATCTGTGTTTTTCAGCTTTTGGTATACCAGAGACTGTTTCTCCGATTTACCCGTGAAGACTCCAGTCTTCTCTACGAAAATAAACACAACACACGACTTCAACTCCTTGTCATGTGGTACCTAACAATCGTGCAGAACGAACTAAACAGATGGCGTAAAACGTATTTATTGAACAGAGTACAGAAAATATGCCGACTAAAATGGACAGGTGTTTGCTTGCCAACTGCACGACTCCGCTGGCAGATCACCCGTAGAACTTATAATCAAACGTCCCCAACCCTTCCCCAGAATCGCAATTGAATAAAAATAAGAAAAAAAGCGCACAGTTGTGGACGTCATTCCTGTACCAATACTTGTTATATCTGCACTGATTCAGTGGGCCGACGAATCGTTTCACAGCCAGTCAGTGATCAGTTTTAAAGCTGTCTGAATGTCCAGTAGACATACATGTATCCATTCACAAAAGAAAGAATGACTGCAGCAAGCAATCAGCGAGCCCGGATGGGCGGACACTGGAATATCCATCAATGTTTCATCCGTAAGCTACTCATGCTTTCCCATCTGAACAAAACACAATCCGACAGTCAAGGCCGATTGATCGCATAGGAATGAAAGTAGACCACGCTGTCTAGCAGGAATATAACGTCGGACGTCATCTACTTGCATTTCATTGGCTGGTTTTCTGTTGTCTGGCTTCTTATTGAGTTCTAAACACTGTCTAGTCTTGTTCCCCATACAGGCGAACTTTCAATCCACTTAGCCTGGCTCACAAGCGCTGTTTTGTGTCTGACTTACTGCACGGGCTACGGGTCTGTATTTTAAGGTGTTTTGTACAGTGTGATCAGACCAAAACATGTCAACTGTGATGATGTAACATGAATGAATTTGCGCCCGTAGTCTTGGGAGATTTCAGCTTTTACACAACAGTCCGCTCCCGCAGTTAGCAATGGTCACACACGTTACATTCGTAAATCCGAAACACTCGTTATAATCAGCTATTTCAAACAAACCAGCATTAAAATGGCTCGAACACCAACACTTCCTAAATCACCTTCAACTTCAATTTTGCCGGTAACTAGATATCAGTCGGCGAACAGGACAATGGAAGCGGAGGCAAAAATAATCATGCTCTTTATTTTTAGCTCCGGAAATTCCTTTATGCTTGTTGACGAACTCCAATTTCGATCTGATTTCTTGGTAGTACGAACACAAACTTTAAACATCGTGACTCCACTATTAGGTGGATTGGAGTGACCTACTTAGCTTGTAACATCTGAGGTTTATATAAATTCGAAATCAAGGTTAGGGTAAGACAACGGACAGGCCTTCAGCAAGGCGAGGGCACAGGTTAGGACAGACCTCTTTGCGACATGCTCAGAAATACTGGTTTCCCACACGTAACTGTCACCACAAGTACATTAAAAAAGGTATACACAGGAGACAAAAAGAGAGTCTGTCTTGCCTCAGTCGGTTCCCGCCGGTATTCATGGTGTTTTGTTAAGCGCTACTAAGGATGCAGATTCGAGCGCTCTCGTGAGAGTTTGCTTAACTTGGAGCTGCGGTCACCTATTAACCTTCTCCCCTTCTGAGCAGTGATATTATGAAGCCCGGTTCTGGGCGCCTTATCTCGTTTCTCATTGTTTTTTATAAAGCTCCAAGATCGCCATTATCCAGCAGTACGACTGAAATATCTTCTAAATCTCTCCAAGCGAACTTGGTACATGGCCCAGAGCAAGGCCATTTTTGTGGTTTTCCATTAGAACTGCGCGCACCATTCATGTTTTATTTTATCCAAGTGTGGTTCGCGTTTAGAAAAGAAAATTATCTGACTGCAAAAATCAATGGACGAGCAGTTCACCGAACCAATAAGATAGGCATGTGCACAGCTTTTCAACGGTGGCGTTGGATTAAACAACATACTTTGAAGTATTTCAACAAATACACTCATTTGCACATCAATTTGGTTTTCACGGGTTCAAGTAGGACATAAGATGGATAGAAAGTCAGGGATTGCGCCTACTTAATGAGCCCCATGAAGGGCGAAACCGGTCTTGAGCTGCCAAAGAGTTTTCAGTAGCTTTGTGAGTAGTAAGACGTAGAAGTGCTCACACTTGGTGCTAATTTTCACGACTAACCACGGAGCATTTGGTTTCACGTACAGTTGATAGGGAAGGCAATTCCGATGAGATATTTGCCGGCTTTTAATCTGATCTGGTTGACAGTTACCATCAGTATCGATAATGAAAATCGAATTGCCAGAAAGATCAGATTCATAAAAAATAACCCCAGAATATCCGGTACCTATTAAAACCCCAAAACTCCACCGAAATCCAAATAGGGAAGCCGGAAAGCAGAGACCGGTCAATCATTCAATCAATCCAGCAAAAGCTGATGAGTGTTCAGGCACACTACAGAAGCACGACCGACTATGAAAAGTGTTCAAGCATTTCATAGAAGCACGGTCGATGTTGATCGGTGTTCACTAAGCGCCGATCAGATAGTCTGGATCAATGTCAAAATGTGCCGTCTCAATAGCGTGGGGCCGTTGTAACGTTTGCGCCCGCTTCTGACAATAAAGCTGCTGTGTTCTTTGTCGGCGAGTCTTTTTCCGCCACTAAGGCACTGAAGCGGGGACAGCAGCCAGATATAGTAAAAAACAACAATCTGCTTTCTAGGCAACATAACGAGCCCCATAAGCAACTGAGAGTTAGTCTTGGAATCGTTTTTACAAAACCAGATAAAGGGTCTGGCGCAACAATTTTGAAATGCGAAGAATAGGACAGGGGGATAGAATCAAGTCCTAGCGGTGACACGAAATTCCAACTATTGGCAAATATGAAGGATAATGCTCAATCGGTCTAAAGTGAATTAGACAGATGTCTGAAACAAATGAAGAAGGCCTCATCATTCCGCAGCAGTATGAACAGCTCAAGTCTACGGGGACACACGCCCCCCATTTATATGGGATTCTTAAACTGCATAAAAAACAGATATCTTGTTGGGCCCTGTTTTTGACGTTTACAACTCGGCATACACAGTATAGTCAAGTGTTTAATCAGTAGTCAGTGTTTAGACGAGTCCCACACAGTATAAATGACACATTTAAACTAACTGGTGGCAGAAATTTTACAAAAAATTGCAAACAAGCTCAGATTACAGACGTAATACACTACTTATACTCAGACTCTTCAGTGTTGTGATTAGGTGTAAGCGCTTCCGGGGATTTTAGAAGGAGAGCGATGTGAACGCGACACGTTAGGTTGTTTGAGTTACACTTACATCGCTCTCGTTTGAACAGTCTTCCTACAATTCTGGCGCAATTATTCATACTAAGGAGAGGAGGCACTGGACTCGAACTTCAGTCTTGTAAGAGCCTACCGGCGGTGCATGTTCCTAGCCGTTCCGGACGTCTAGCATGCGGAGCAGGTATGTTGCCACTCCTCAAGCAGCACCAGTTATTACGCCTGCACACGAGAACGTATTTTTTGGTGTGAACTTGCCAGAATAAATACACCAGAACCGGTGAGCGGGGGGAGACTGATGTGAAGGTAAACCATAGGTCATAGAAAATGCCACGAAGCTCCGTTCATGAGTGGTAGCGACTCCTCAGCGTTACTTCACAACCAAAAACAATGCTATCTATGTTGGACTTCCAATATTCTCGGGTACATTGTGTTGGACAACACGATCTTCATACGGTAACTTATAACCGCCTCTTCTGTACTTGATCTAGCCATCTCTTTACGCAATCGGAAAATGATCGATATTCCACCTTATACTACAACAGGTCATAATCGTGCTGACCTCCACGCTCGCTTTTGGCCGCAGGTTATTAAGCCGATTAAAATAGCTGAGTGAATGGAACAAGTATCAGGTGAATATTAGCTGTATCTTCTTCCGAATGGGCGCTTTTATGACATTCGGGTTGTCGCTAACAGAATGTTGGATCTGGGATGGTGGTAAACAGGCCGTGCACGCTCTTTTGATTCAAGTGGCAAAGGCACAGACCAATTTTGAGGTCACCGGATTAAGAACAAATGGCTCTGGGGCCTCACAGTCTGCTAGTTGAAATCGGATTGACCCAAAGGGTCCGTGTGGAGCCCGCATGACAAGGCAGAATATGATGCATTCAAGGGCATTTTTATTACCCCACGGACTAACAGTTGGATTACCATGACTGTAAACCACCCTGGGCAGTCCTGAACACAGTCCCACGAAGCTGAAAATAGTCTTGTGCATTTTCTACCACGCACTTCCATTCGTTATTCAATTCGACCTGCAGGTGAATGATTTTAGAGTTTTAACTTCATCGGTTGGCAAACCGTACTGCTGAAAACGAGTTGTTCTTCAAGGTGAAAGAGTCAACCATATCAGTAAACAGGCAGTTTTGTCACATTTCTTCAGGAGGTAATGGATCAGAGAAACAAGACAGCACGCATCAACTTCATTTCCTGTAACGTTCAAATCAGAGGCTGCCGTGCGGTGAGACGATAGACACCGACGGAAATTATCGTTTGGAAAGACTGCAATTCGTTTAGCTGTACTATGCACAACATACAGTATAGACGAAGCCAACTGAACCATTTGAATGACACTAGGCTTGTTTTGAAGCATGGGCATCATCAGCTCAGCCTTATGAATAATTAAGTTTTTGGGAGGAATACCTCTAGTTGGCAATGAAGACAGCTCGGAAGAAAAACCACTTGCTTAATTACTCGAAAAATTGCAATACTATACCGATTTGTAAAGTCGAGTAAACTCCGGATACATGCACTCGTTGTAGCTGGGCTGTCGAACCCCTAAGAGGTATTTTCGTTCAAGAGACAGGCATCTCGCCCACAGACAAATACAAACCAGTGTCAACTATTGGCGCCGCACTATCTCCACAGGCTGTGTTGCAGGAGGCCAGCTGAACTGCTCTTCGAAGTGTTCGGCCCATCTCTCCAGTCGACGTTTTTGCGAGTGAATTAATGAGCCATCTTTTTCACTTATCGTTTCGCTGACCGTCGCTTTCCTAGGGCCAGTCGATCGTATCAGTTGATAAAGGACACGGCTGTTTCCCGTAGCAAAAACACTAGGCTTGTTTTGAAGCATGGGGATACCATCATCAGCCTTATGAATAATTAAGTTTTTGGGAGGAATACCTCTAGTTGGCAATGAAGACAGCTCGGAAGAAAAACCACTTGCTTAATTACTCGAAAAATTGCAATACTATACCGATTTGTAAAGTCGAGTAAACTCCGGATACATGCACTCGTTGTAGCTGGGCTGTCGAACCCCTAAGAGGTATTTTCGTTCAAGAGACAGGCATCTCGCCTACAGACAAATACAAACCAGTGTCAACTACTGGCGCCGGGAATTGTTCCGCTTCAAACCTAGCCAAATCATTAACACAGTGGTCGATGAATAACGGAACTGGTCTTCAGTGATATAGAAGGTCCATGTCAATCATATTTCTATAAACACCCCCAGATATACCATCAAATTGCTCGGATGCGATAGCTAGCGGGGTTTTGGCTCAGACGTCAGTTGGTGGGAAGGGTCAGTTGAGTATATTACGTAAGGAAGAGAAATCCACGGTCTGGAATTGTCGATATCACCTTTCATACTGCATAGTACAGGGATCATTGGGAGATACTGCTCAAAGAAACCACGGTTGTTGTTTTGAGCTATTCAGCTTTTGCAAACGGCAACTCAAAGTCCAAAACAGACTCAAATGAAAGCATCATGATAAGGCTCGTATATGCTTTTGACTGTTATTTCTATGTCACAGACGGGTTCAAGAATACCTTATACTCAAAGTTTAGGCAGTGTCTTTAGTTGTAAGGAATGAAGCTCAATCTGTTTTCTGTGCATGATATCTTTTCTCGGTGCACATCCGAGCAGCGTCATAAAGATTTCGAACTCTCCTTATGTAACGCGGTTTTCCTTGTTGCCCAGTTTGCCATAAATGCATCTCAGCTTAACCTGATGCATCATGCATTATAGGTAAAAGGCTGAATCGCATGTGTTGAAAACAGTCGATGTTGTCAGGAAAAGTCTCACGGTATCAAGGGAATTTCGCTCTGCCGAACGCACCCACGGTCAATCAGGAGCTTAGATTGTAGCAGTCAACCACCCTGCAGCCACTGCTAAACGTAAATGATGCGTGTAACTTTTTGAATTTTTGTTAATCGCCGTCGTCGAATTTAAAGTTTTCCTAGCTCGGGCACGGTAAATGATAAGCGAATTTAAAGAATTTAACCCGAGGGTGAACTGGGAACACGTGCTTCACTGCAACTTGGGATAATGCCAGACACATAAGTTTCGATCCACTATGTATCGGATATCACTATGAGGGCTAACATCCTTCTCACTTGACGCCTAATCAAAGTGGCTGAATATTTGTAATCTCAAAGTTTTTTCTCTGTTTCAGCTTGGGTTGTCGTTCAGTCAACTTCCTTTGTGCACAGAATCATTACTCGGTTAAACATAACACTAGCGAATACCGTCTTAGGATTATCTGGAGAATGAGGAACTTAGGCCAATGTCAAAAGGTCTGTGATACACAGTGGCTGTCAGTGTCCTACCAGTATAGTGATCTGTCTTCCCGAATACGTTAGGGAAAACGGCTAACTTGCAGTATTTTTCTAACAAGCAGTCCTGCGAAATGGAAAAAAAATCAGTATTGCCAATAGATAGGTGATCACGTTGAGTATTGATTCGTGTTGGGAAGTGCACACTATTAACAAACCCCAGGGAGGCGAGCACTTGATCGAAATCATACTGATTACCGGTGAGAAAAGGTTCAATCAAGGACTCAATGTTGTGGAGGAGCAATCAACACTGAATCGAAAGAAGCTTCGCTGTGGAAATGTAGGGGTCTGTAAAGTGAACGCTTGATAGCTGTACGGGAACCGAATTTTGCGTTTCGAGACTGGGTACTTCCGAATTCGCACAGAGTACGCGGGGAACAATACCAGTCATATTTTCTGTACCTGTAAACGCCCCTACCTGCGTAGGGAGGCCGCCAAGAAGGCCGTTCCGAACGAGACTGGATCCATCAAACTGAATGGTTTTGTCTGTATGGATGCAACATCGGCGCACCGATGACCTCTACCACCAAGTAGTTGAAATAAGTTGTCCATCTTTCCAAGAGCGAACCGACATCACCAGAAAAGGTTGTTTGCATTCCAACAGACGATGTTGCCTAAGTGATAACGGCAAAATCACAGGGTGCTGTTTTTCAGGCTTAAGAGATCGAAATGACCGGTTCACAGAACTTTCTTACCTTGTGATTATTTTTCTGAATAAGGGTAGAAACATACGAACTTCAAGAAATCGTGACTATAATTTCGGGAGCTTAACTTTGGAAATATCTTACCACAACACAGCATCCTTGTTCAAAAGAAATGGAAAATAGGCAGATAAAGGGGGCGAGCCCTTACTGCATGCGCGTCAAGTAAAACGCCACACTTGAAAGTTCGGTTCGCCACTATATGAACCCTCACTGAGGGATTCGCAAAACGGAAGTGAACTAGTGGCAACGGGCTCGCCTTGTATGTCAGATATCAATGATCCGAATCTCCGCATGGTCAGAAATTGAACGAAACCAGAGACTAGCGCTTTCCCATTTGAATGTGGGTTACGCAGAGTAACAACGCTAGTTCAGTAGGGGGATCGGTCAAACGAGAGGTATAAATACCAAATGACAGCTTGATCAGTGAATGCTGTTCCTGTTAGTCACCAATTCAATGCATAAAAACTGTTTGTGCGGGAGTGGACAGGTGGCGCAGTCCCGTAGTCATTAATAAAACACTGGTCACCGTAACGAGGTCGTCTATCAATCAAAGGATAGTACACGCAGATGGTATACGTGAAACTAAGCATCCTTCGATCGCCACATGAAGAAAAGGCACCAGGTGAAATTTTTAGCATTTGTAGGTGTGCTTGAGCGTCTAAAGTGAACATGTGCAGTCCTGTTTTGTTTGGAACACCTATTCAAGCGAACATATCGACCGAACACCTGTGGTTACGAGCCGACAAGTAAGAGGTATGGAGCTCTGAAAGATTAACGCTGTTCGCACGTTTGCGGTTCAAACGGAACAGGCAAAGACAACCATGTGGACTGGACGTGACTCATTACCGACTCTTAACTATCACAGCAAGAAGAGCACGAAATACCAACTTTTCGCTTTTAGCGTACGAAAGACAATCAATCAACTAGCAGCACAAAATGAAGACCGGTATTCTGACTAATTAAGCTGACTGCTAAACGAAAGAGAGCAACGCGAAAAACAAACAAAATAGACAAGACAACTCTGTATTGAAAAACTGGAATACTAGTGTGAATTTTCACATCAAATTGTACGTATTCTGGAAACGTTTCCGTGTCCCAACATGAGGCTTCACTTCATCCCTGAATGAGCCGCGAATGTGATTCACAAGCAGCCTTGGTAGCGTTGCTGTCTACCAGCGAGCAACTCCCCTGCAATGAACGCGTCAATATGTATGTGGTTGGTTCTACTCTAGTCTGTTGCACCAATTGTCGGTAAAACGAGGGGTTTCAAGACAATTTTACACACATGTCAAAGTGTTTACGGTGGCAAGGGTAAATGGTTGCACACAAGATAATATAATGATCTAGTGATGAAGACAAACGCAACCGGTTGTTCTAGAATTTGGGTAGCACCAGTGCAGAGCGAGAAAACGAGAGAGCTTATACTCGGACAGAGTATAAGTCATTTTCTTTTGGGGTCACTCCGTTAACGGTTATCACATTTAACAGGGTCACATTTGCCTCAGTCGCACTTCGAACTCGTTCTATTCAAAAGACCGTTTGACCACATCAATGTTGATGCCTACACAGCACTAGGCAGACTGAGAATTTTCCTGAGTGCTCATGGGGATTCACATCAGTTACGGCCAATCAACCATGAACACATCAATGTTGATGCCTACACAGCACTAGGCAGACTGAGAATTTTCCTGAGTGCTCATGGGGATTCACATCAGTTACGGCCAATTCATCAACCATGAACCGTGTGCCATGGACACTAATTCCAGCTGCTACAGCTTCGATCACCGGAAAGTGAGAGTGTGGGAGATACAGACAAGTTTTGGAGACGATGGAATGTTCGAAAACTTGGTAGCTTTAATGAATGAGTGCTACTGACTGCGCGACTGCATCATTTCTGCCAGTGTCATTATCTAGGGACCCAGTTACAGGGTCGAACTTGGACCGAACTCTCCAGCTATGTGCACGTGACACCTCAGTCCCGGCCTTTTGCATTCGCACGCACCGACTGGCTTGGAAGCCGCTCGACACTAAATGCATACTGTTTCAGTAATTAAGTTCCGTTGAAGCACCAGACCTCCCATTTTACCAATTACATCGTTGTTCAATCACTAACCCACCCGGGTCGTTTCTCTGGCCAGTGGCTGGTCGTTGTTTTTTTCGCCCAACTTGGCAACCAGATTGTGGTTTAATCCGGGAAACACCGATTTGTGGTTGACTGGGTGGTCGATGTGTTAGTTACACATCCATTTATCTAGCCACGAGCTGGTTCTGTGAGAAGCGCGGCCAAGTAAACAACTGAACGAATAACATCTGGGAAACTGGCTGCATGCGAAACTGACACTTTTCAGGCTGATTATACAGAAAACGGATTATCGATGTATCGAATTAAACAGCAACTGTCGATAACAAATGCTATCAACGTGATGAAAGTGCATATGTGACCATGCGAAACTGACACTTTTCAGGCTGATTCACAGAAAACGGATTATCGATGTATCGAGTTAAACAGCAACTGTCGATAACAAATACTATCAACATGATGAAAGTCACTGAGCATATAAGTGCGCAGAATGCAAACACCCTCCGACGAGGGAAGTCGTTGCTTGAGGTCCCCGCACGCTTCATTTGCATTTTAGCTAATGCACGGTTGACCCGTATAGAGCACTCATTACCTGAGTTCCAGAGCGAAATTCAGACTCGATATCAGCTCAGTTCAACGAAGTTCGATAGGATTTGGCAGCAATCAAGAAAACCAAGCATAGGCACGCACTTTTCACGAGAATCTTTCAGATAAACCGATTTTCGTGCATAGCCGGGGATGGTCGTTTAAAAACGGGCACTGTAGTGTGCACACAAAAAACCGGTTTGTGATCAGCGCACAAAAATCGACCAATATGAATGGATTGGATCGACATTCTCGTGGTAACGAGAGCGTACTGCCCGCCAAATATCTCCCCCTCGGATTCCGCAGCCTTTTTGTATTCTGCCTGTCAAGTGAAAGGTTACCGTGGTTCTCGATCGTCTCACACCCGTGTTTTGGGTACGGTAATTTGGTGTTCGTTCATCAATCAAGCAACAAAGCTAAGCCCGTGATCAGTTAAAGATCATGGGTGTCGTCAACTTTTGTCCACAAAGAGGCAAGGTGCCCGGACGGATGATCCTACGCCTACGCTGGTTCAAACCTGTTCCAGTGAGTGCGGTTTTAAAGAGGCAAGGTGCCCGGACGGATGATCCCACGCCTACGCGGGTTCAAACCTGTTCCAGTGAGCGCGGTTTTGGGGTGATAAGTTGCTATTTTTTTTACTTATTTTCTAGTAAACATTTGACTCTGTGGCAGTGGCTACGGAGCAAAGGTGTACCCGATAAATTCTTAACCTTGTTAAGAGCGCTGTACGCCCATTTCCGCGGATGCGTGATCGTTAGCGAGAGGCTGCGTTCCTTACATTAAGTGATGTCAGAGCTGTTCTGTCACCTCTCCTCTTCAATTTGGTCAATATATATGGAAGACTGACGCCCAGCCTCTAACGAACATTGGGTCGAAATGCCCCCAGGGCATTTGCTCACAGATATAGATTTTGGATATGACGCCACTGCAATGCAGACACCAAGTAATCTAGATAATTCTGCCTCACGGTTCGGCATACGCTTCACACATGTGAAGTGCTGCTGCAAGACTGGGAGGCGGGGGTAGTGCGTAAATATCTGCCTGGACAGTTTAACCAAGGACATTTCCACGCGAATCGCAAGAAGGCATTACCTGTGATATGGACGTGACATCGGGTTATCTGCCAACTTTACAGTGCTACGATGCCCTCCATATTGTCATAAGCCTGGCTGTTGAGTACTTAAAGAAACCTTCAGTGTGTGACTATTGATGTTTTCGGAGCAGTGCCCGAACCTGATGGGAACATGAGATCGGTTAGGCTGAATTACATCGAAGAAGAAACAAATTGCCCATGATCAATGAACTAGCCACACTGAGCTTGCTTAGTTGCCTGCTGCATATGCCAGTTGAACGACTCAATCGAAGAGCACTTCTCGCACAACCACATGAAGGGTGAAAACGAGCCAGGAGAGATCAAGCGATGACTTGACACCGAAGTATGGAAGCCGTTACTAGCAAACTCAGCTACCGTCTGCCTGGATTAGGACCCTGAGACACATCAGCGGTTGGAAACACTGTCAGATATGGCCTAGTCGCGCCCTCAGTAGCACTCATACACCCAAACTATTACCCTCAACATATAGCAGTGCCTCCTGATCCATCCAATGGAAATTTCACTAACACTGCTGCATTTGCGCATCAAATATATTGGCTGCCGCCTCCAATACGTAGGTGCACACTCCTACCAGCCCAAACAATTGGTGATCGAAGCTGTGGCAGCTAGAACCACTGAACAGCAAATGCCCGGTTTTTTATAGCTGAAGACGATGTGCCCATGGCATAAGTGTTGTTCGGGTGACTAAAACCAGTAACGGGTAGATGTTGAGCCCAAATGTGTGTGGAGGATAGCCGTACATTTGATATAGCAGCCAAATAGTTCGCTGAAGTTGATAGTTTCGTTTTGAACGACTGCTTGCCAACGGAGGCACAATCATCAGTGCGTTGTTATGTAGCAAGTCCCCCTTAGATGATCTTCGAGAATCGTCTGTACGTGGTGACTTTTGAGACCGACCCCTTCAACCTGACTCGCTTCAACTTGCTCTTGCGGTGAATCGTCATATGGCTTGTTTGCTTGAAGTTCGATTGCGTTGATACTTCTAGCATTGCGTAGACTACTTCCAAATCCTACCGGCAGGTTGAACTTATTGGGTAATACGATTCCGAAAATATTCTGCGAGATTCCGTGATTCTACGAACCACAATATCTGTTTTCCAAACCGAAATGGTGCCCTTGAACGTCATGTTGGGAAACCAAAAGAAAACGTGGACTATGTCTACTTGTGGCCACCTTACGTTCAGTAGAAAGTTTCTTCCCAGTCTGCCGAACAGTGTATTGGATGTGTTGATTGCAATTGGCTGATAAACATCATTCTGAATGCGCTGTTTTTACTTGTTGTAGGGTGTCTTTCCGGGGTGGCAGTTGATTTAGGCGCTACTGAAATCCATGAAGTCGTATTAGTCTTATTGCTTGCCCATACAGTTCATTGAGGTACGGAACACCAGAAGATAAACGGACAGGACTAACTGAAAGAGCAAATGGGTAAAAAAAAACCTAAACAGGATAGATCTATTTCAAAAGCCACCCACCAGTTGGGCAGCCAGACCACGCACTAACGAAAAAACCGATTGCATTGTCGGCCCAAGCAACAGTGTACGAACACGCACTGGTGACAGTGTATCCTACCAACATAGAGTTACTCGGAAACTCGTTCCGTCGTTATCATAAAGGATATGTACCAACGTTGTGGAATATAGGTAGCTCGGGTACGCTGTTTGGTTGTTGGTCTGTCCACCAAGCACCCTTCCCAGACACAATCAACTACACCTGAGTATGACTGCACTTGTTTTTTCTCATTGAGTCTAAGTACCTCCTTTCCTGACACTTGAACAAGAAAAGACCTTGGGACGGAGGAGTGTATTAAGCGTGAGTAGAGGCCAGCTGCTCAAAAGTGGAAAATTCATAAGACACACGACTCTCCACTACACCTACTTGCACAATGCACACCTTTCAAAAACACAAGACGCCATTAATAAACTAAGAACTTAGGTAACGAGAAACGAATCGTTGTGAGACAATTATACGTATCAGTACATCTTATACATCGTTCGACAGGTTCAAAGCCCTGATAACCTTCACAATAGGTGGTCGAGGTTAAAAGAAACAAAAAATTACCTTTAGTCTATTGATATGCATTCACATGGCTAGACAGAAACTCAGAGGCATGAAACACAGCGTACACGAAACCCACACCCAAATACATTGACTTCAACAGCAATTTTCGGAACACTTGGTGTAGAGCGCATCGGTTCATCAAACAAAGCATACAGGGCTAGCATGTGACGGTCCTGCATCGTGCAAATGAGGCCATAAAACGGCAGATCGACCGGGTAGGCAATCACGCAGTGACTATTAACCGATCGTCCGCGAAAGAGGCCAACAGGACGGATGCCACTGAAGAGAACAAGACACACAGTGCCGATCGACCAATGGAAAATAGGGTCCCACCATCTCGACGTGTTGCAAGTGACAGTTAGCAGGCACTAACAGAGAGGTACTTGATTGAATCTGTCGGAACTTGATTGATTTTCGATGGTTCGCAATGTGCTCCACCCCTAGTCGCTGAAGGCATAGCCACAGAACTGACCGTGTGGACCTGATTTCGCAGTGACATTCAGCTTTGGTAGATCAGCCATTGGGTTCTCAAAACCTGTACGGCCTTCGGTAGATTGATTTTCCTCAAGTGAACACGCAGGCACACTCAGAATATTTATGCGTCCATAGATCTGTTCTGGCCCCGTGCGCCTCCAATCAACAGAACATTCTTGAATCATCACAGGTTAGGTACACAACAGAGAAAAGGGATGCGGCATGTGAAGAAAACACACAATCAACATTACGGAGGCACGAACTGCGAACGGATGACCTTAACCTCCTATTCAAGCCTCGAACTCCAGTCGGTTGATAACCACCATTACAGAAGGTCTGCAGTCTGAACAAACAAAATTAGGAAAACTGTAAATGTCAGTACGAAATAAGGCATCTCCTAGCGACCAAGTTATTTAAATAGGCAGCTGCATGGATGTTAGCTGAGGTCTTTGCCCATGTTTTCGCAATCAGTATCCTATACAGCAAATCCGTACTGAAATCTAACCGACAAAGAACGACGGGGTTGTTATAGTGGTTTTGTCCAGCAAAAACCTGAGCAACACATGCACAGAGTGACTAGTTTCACGTTACTGAAGAGAACGGTACGATAATTCAGCCGTTCACGGACCTGATTCACTTGGCTTGACGTTGTTCTCGTCAGGATAAGTAGTTTATCATCGGAAGGTCGTAGCAGATGCAAGGCACAGTGAAGGAGTGCCAAAATCAAGATAACTTGTCAGCCGCATTTTAACTTTACACAACCATATCACTCAAGATTTCTTTGAATGAGCTATATTAGGTGTCTGCGTCCGCAAAAGAGCGTCTAAAAATGCTGTTCCACCAATTGATAACCACACGAGGTAGTCGTCCCAGATAAGTAACAAGTTTCCAGACGTTCCAATAAATCAGATTAATAAACAAATCTAATCAAGAAACGGCTACCACAAGAGCTAGAACAAGAGGTCAGATGTAGACTGCAACCATAGTCCGTTCCGCCTGAAAACACACCCTTTCGCGCCCCGGATCCATTAGACCGCCAACGACCAGTGAGACACTTGGTCCTTGATAGCACTCCTATTACCGTTCTGGATTACCCGGGCAAGTGAGAGAACATTACTGAAGGGCGAGTTTTGTCCGGCTGGATCGTGAAACCAGTTGGAACATCTCAATAGTGGTTCTCTTTGTCGCAAATTACTCACGTCTATCGAGTTTGGAGAACATAACCTATCCAAAAAGTGATAGTTCGATTCACAGAAGACTCAGACACTCCTTGGTATAACAGACAAACGAATTTATCCGCAATTAATACACTCACTGTTGTACGACTGTGAAAAGGTCGGCGGTGCAAGGGACTTCCACCGAGTGATTGTCAGGAACCTGAGCACCGCCAAATTCGAACTGGTAGTTGCACGCAGGCCTGTACAAAATTACCGGTCAACCTAAACAGAAGCAGACAGAAAAAATAAGAACCCCGGAAAAAACATGTGAGAGTCGACATACGTGCATCGATGACACAAACATGCGATGGCGGTAACATTACATATTCTCAACTTACTGTAGCCCGTGTTACTGCTTTGACGTGATCGAGTTTTATGCGGGTGAGTCAGCTTTGATTCAATACTAATCTCTAAACAAAATGAAAGACAACAGTCCTCCCAAAAACGACCACATGAGGGTATTTCTGGGAAACAACAAAGAGACTTTGTGTGGCTTCTTTGACTTTTAGCTGATCAATTATAACCTTCACGCTGGATCCTATGACGTCTGTTCGACTTGGATAAACAACCATTTGAAGTTTGGAGTACGGGAACACCTCATTTCTCTCAACATGGACGTCTCGAAATCTGAATTAGTCAGTTAGATTATCGATGGAAAAAAATCAGCCTTCATCGAGAGTGAGCTCACAACACTTGAAGACCAGAAGAGGTACATTATTGGGCCGATGATGAACCGTATTTCCCACGATTTCCTACACCACGTAAGCCATAAAACCAACCCCTCATCTGTCACGCTTGAGGTAGCATCAAAGAAACGATTCAAACTTGACTTGACCACAGCTAAGAAATGAGGTGCCATACCAAATGTCTTTCGCCTCCCTCGACTCACTGATAACATGAGCCTTGTTTGGTAAGACCAAATCACCAGAAGATTTCGGTTCCTATTGAGGAGTCGACATCTGGTGCATCAACCAATAAATTCGCGGAACCCAGATAAAGTGGTGGTTCTGGGATAGGTTTCTATGGCAAGTGAAGGGTAAACTGGTAGAGGTTGCAATTTAGCCTGCGTCCTGAAGATGAAAACTGATGGACTCGAAGAATAAGTTCAGTAGGCGAAGGGAAGACTTCATTCGAAAAGTAGGGGCGGTTGGTCCGAAACGATACGAATTTCAGATGCATCAGTCACGTCTGCGTGCATCACCCAAAATGTACTACTGATTTTCGTCTTCTGATGGTCCCGCCGTATCTGGGCGGCCTCCTGTTCACCTAGTGAGTTCTCGAACGACTGATAAGAGCGCTCAGTGGTTAAAGCAAAAAATTGCTGACCGGAAGGTCTGACCTCTGTCTAGGATTGGGGAACCTGGAAGTATCCAAGCCCTCGTGCTTTCTGGTGGCATGGCAGTTAGTCATCGAAAGGTACTACAGTTGAACGAAAGAGCAACTTGCATCACGCCTTGGACAAATAAAATGACGTCAGGCTGCAACACGAGTTCTGCTCTTCTCGATCAACAGGTAATTCAGACTTTAGCTAGGACAGGTTAGCGGTGGTACGTAAAGAGATCTGGGAATTTTAATGGAGATTTCGCCCTGTAAGTGTAGTCCCATCAGTGCTTCTCGGCTTTTCAGCATAGACTGGTTTCACTTACAGGACGAAATCTCTATTACAGGTTAGTTTGCCCATTTCTTCGACTGGATAACTTGAGTCATAGTTAACTGGATTTGACTTCAACTCGTTGTGCAGCATTAATTCACACACTAACTATAGGTATATGTATATTCATGCATACCTTACCTATATTTTGAAGGTTCTGTTTCGAAGACCCTCAAGGAAAGACAACATCACCAGCGTACTGAGTGTCAGGAAGTAAACAATAAAAGTGGGAATGAACATGCAGTAATCCTGAATCAGTTGGATCAACAAACCATGGATGTATGAGCCATTCGGTCATTGTTATCAATGAAGAAAATGGCTAAGTTGAAAATCCTGAAGTAAAGGAACCTTGGTTGCGGAATACATTTAGTACTCGGACGCATCCACTGTATCTACTGCCAGATGAAAAATCGTCATACATCAACATGGTGGACAAGTATGGTTCCAAAGAAAGGAATTCTTGAAAATTCATTTCTAAGACGAGTTGTTTCGAGACCTAAATATAAGCACGCTTAGTTTAATCAATAGATTAGAGTAGCAAATACTGGGCTACAAAGTCACCCATAATATATGATTTCTCATCTCCACACATGCAACGAACACGTTCAATAGGTTTTCTGATCATCTAACCGTAGGAATGTCATTGACCTCAATAGCTAAGTTCCAGAAACACCATAGGCCACGTGATTATGCAGTGGGTACCGCGTGCTAGCAACGCATAAAAGTCCCGAATAATGGCCAGAAGCGAGGATCAAGTTGGTTCCCGGATCGATTCTACAAATGGCATTCACGGAAATGAACTCGGAAATGCTTACTTATAGCTGAAATTGAAGCTGAGGTCACCACAATCCCACAAGTACTTTAAAAAAAAGCAAGAAAACGAGACTAGCTTGGAAGATAACCGAAAAAATGAGCGCCCAACGGTAACACCTTAGGGAACTAAAGGTGTTGGACTCGAAGTAAATGAGGATGGCGAAAAAAGAGTAGGGCTTGGTTACCCCCAACAGCTAGATAAAAAACAAAATAAAATAAAATAAAATAAATCGTTCAGCTGTAGCACCATTCCGGTGCCTAGATGCCATGCCATCCGAAGGAAGCACGAGGACTGGGATACTGCCGGGTCGCACAAGCCTAGACAGGGGAAGTCGAGTGGCAGAAGTCGGGTTCGAACCGCGGACCTTCCGGTCAGTAAATTCGCGCTCTAACCACTTGAGCCATCTCGACCCCAACAGCTAGATGACAATCGGTTATCCGATTAGGTTATCAAAGCCTTACGGTACCGTTAGGCGATAGCGGATTCCCAACACATCCAGAAGGGAGAATAGAAGAAATACACAAGTGCGTGTTAAGGTAATTCTCCAGCTTTCCCACTGATTCAGTGGCTGACTTAACATTTCCTTTCACATTCGACCCCAAACCAGCGATTTCCAGGGCTCAAAACAGCCGAAAGCAAGTGGACCTATGACCAGCGGCTGGTACCACCGTTGAAAAAGAAACACATTTCGACAACAAAACCCGGAAGTGCCAGGCATCGGAAACAAATTCGATTAATAAGTGGTAGGTCAGCGACAGTACCATCTGCGACAATACGATAGCTGCCACCGACGAAACTTGGCCGTTTTTATTCATCCACACAATGAACACCTTTCATTCAACTGACGACGACGAATCGACGGCCAGCTAACCGTTGAAATATAAGCGTCATCTATACTGCGTTCTACTGAAAACAAACGTCAGCCTTATCTGACGAGAAACATTAAGTTGAAAACTGGTCACCCGAGAAGGGACGAATCAAGTGCGGCAGCCTTTCGGTGTACAGATGCCATTCAACTTGGAAGTGCATGGGCTGTGACGCTGTCGGGTTACAAAAGCCGAGGCTAGAGGACTTGGAAGCCGGGGCTAATTTCGAGGAATGGAACTTCCAGTCAATAGTATCTAGCCTAAACTGCTGAGTTATGTCAAATCCCTCTCTCAAGGTCGAGAATACAGTGGATCCGGGAGCAAAGGTAGTTAGGGGGTGACTCCAGCCCGTCGACGAGCTTTACCATAAGATTTCTACCTAGCTTTTCCCTTGCAATCAACCTCAATCTGATCACTTGATTGTGCAGTGTTTGGATTGCTTTCGGGATTACTAGTATCCAATTACTAAACATCTTCCTTTACCACGAAGAAGCATGAAGCGACAAGCACCGGTGACAAAATGAAGCACACTCTCAACAAGTGACCGCGAATCAGTGCAACCGTAGATGCGACTGCATACAGAATCGGGTACCTTAGTTAAATTTTTCAATCATCCTCATATCCCTCTGCAAATGTGATCTCGCTCTGCTCGCTGAGTCATCGGGAAACAAGATGACGCTCCCGCACTTATCGAGATCTTTTGATAGTCTTCCCTTGTAGGCGCAAACTTACTTTTATCCACAGGATTGTAGCGCATTGCTTTGTTACCCAGCTCCGCTTTGTCTGAAACAAGTAACGTTACTGAATGATCCCGATATACACTGGACAATACCGCGACGGATGTGAGCCGAGCAGCATCACTTAACCACTGCAAACCAGCTTAAATCCGCGGGAACAGGACCGGAAGACATGCATGTAACCACCCGATGCCTATAATTATTTGAGACGTGTTATAGTACCAACACACGCTCTAACTGTACGACTGAACAAGAAAAAAAGGGAAATTTGTGAGGATGAATCAACTGGCTGTAACATCATGAGTCAGTGATTCAGAAATCTGGAGCGGCCGTTCCACTCACCCCGGCTGACAATCACTAATCTAAACCAGCATTCAAATGTGGCGTATGCAAGATTGTTCCATGATGACAACCTAGGCTACAGAGAGCTAGATGGAACCACATCCCTTGGCTACTTTAACGATGTCTACACCCAAGTTTGCGTATAATTCACCATTCTGATAATCTTATTTTGCTCCGTATTCCACAATCATCATCATCATCATCATCGACAGCATGACATCAGTGTTCAACACTGATGATTCACTGCCGTACAGTATCTGAAGAGTTAGCCTTATTGCTAGTGGCATCTCTTAATTCATTCAACGTTTTTGCGGCCTGGGGACTGCCGCCTGCGCAGTTCGGAAGAGCGCACATCCATGATCGAATGAACACATCATTCAAGAGCAACCTGGGTCCTCACAACTCGTGGGCTATTATTCCTGTGCAGAATGAAATTCGCCGGTCACCAACATACCCACTGCAACCACCATATAAGTGCCAAAAGATTCCTTCGATAAGTTCCTCCCATTTTCAGCCCCCATGTATCAAAGTATGCTCCTATTTCCAATCAACACCTGCTCCACTCAACTATCATGTGGCAGCACCCATAGTAAGCTGTCGATTAGGTGCCTTTCCCCACTCAGATGGAGCGATAGCGGTCATTTCACACTGTTGTTAGCCACCTAACTAAACGAAGTGCGGTATACTGGTGAAATTTAGGGAAATTAAAAGGCGGGATCAGCGTTAGTGGTAGTGCTTGGTCTTACGTCATAATAATTCGGGCAACTGATGGTTATCAAAAGGCAGTTGTGTTCGTTTTACATCGGGTTTGCGTATAGAACGGCACTAGACTCCGTGCGACTCATCTATCATAAGCAGGTGTGAAATGGACCAACCTGTGTTAGCCTGCAAGTCCGTTACGCATACCATATAGAACACTCCGGTGCTGTACGGTCATTAGGAACATCAAAAATATCTTAGCGTGAACTGTTTACACCATCGTTCACAACGGCGAGGGCATTTTCGGCTCTACGGTCGCTGTAGTAAGTGCTTGCTTACTTAAAACGACAGCGCCAGTGGTCACCTTAGAATGGGGTCGATCACTTTTCTGAAATCACCAAGCGACAATCTGAAGTCCAGTGTTTATGAAAAGAAGGCAAAAAAGTGCTTATTGGTTTTTGGGCTCACAAGACGTTCAACCTCCTAATTTAATCAAACAATCATTATACTGACCCAGTTGTGTCTCGGTGTTCACTACATACAGAGCCATACACCCCACAGGCTCGATCGCGACACCATTGACTGCCCCAGGCAGCTTCATCCAACCGGTCGTTGAAGGTACACGAAGGATGAAGCACAAGTGAATCGCATTCACTGGTCCACATCTTCTGCAAGCTGCAAATTAAAACTCATCCTGATGGTATGTCCTAGTACTGTAATGAACAGTCTGACACTGCGAATTGTGCGTTGTCGGGAGACAGGGGTCAAAGTCAAGAGCATTGCGACAATCTCAATAGGAGTGCATCTAGAAAAATAGGCAGGTCATGTATACGGAAAAATATCGGTAGTGTCATTGAAAGGAAATTCCATACTTTCAATGTCGTCTCAAATGAAGCCCGAGGCGGCTCTCGTACAGAACTTTCAACCGAAACTAAGCCTACAAATGATTTACATTTTCACCAACCTTAAATCTGGCCTTTCGTCTGTTGGTTTGCAACAAACAAATGACCTATTTCGCTGAGGACACGCTTGCAATACAGCAGAGGGCTATAGTGATAAGTTTACTAAAGCTCCAGAAAACTTGGGCTTCAGATTAACCTCACGTGTTGTGGCAGGTTCCACCTGGGAAACTTCCTTGGTAAACGCAGCGTACAACGAAGTAGGGCCTACCTTAAAGGTGAAAAGTGAATAACTTTCTTCCAAAAGTCTATGTAGTCAGTTGCAGATATGGAGAAAAGGCCATTCTAAAACTATAGCACGACAATCTTCAGGAAATCTCTGGACTCTCCGTATATGCCTTCGAAGTGTTTAGTGCACGTGATGTGAGCAACCACTGCCGCTAGACATATCTATGCTTTCCGGTGCCGGTGATACCGCCCTACCATGTTCCGTAACTGTGATTCAAAGTTGTCCCTTGTTTTTCTCTCCCCTTGCTTGGAAAAGCTTCTAAAACACGGATCCTTGATTGGTTCGGGGCAACTAGCTCCACAACTTTGTCACTCTGGAGCCCAAATTCATCAAACAACTACGTGTCCTTGAAAATAGCGGCAATACATGAGAATTATAGAAAGCAATCGCATTGCAAACTTCGCGAGTTGTGAGCCAGCTTCTGGCGTACCACTTCCGAGGAATGCATCTACCTCTGTGTTTGTCTGTCTAGAGGATATAATGAAGCTGAGCAAACCCAGTGTAGGAAATGTCACTATGGTCATGCCCGACCTTTCTCAACTAAAAACAGATTTTCAAACGAATTTAGCTAAGCACGGATAATCAGTGAACACATGAAAAATTTACAGATGGGCGGACCCGTTCCAACACTACAATGGTGGAAAACAATAGGAAACCTTCCCTATTGTCGAGATACATGACTCTGGTACAAAGGCCACAACTTATCCACCTGACTTGTATTCGTCCTTGATTTTCGCCTCCGATTTCTCGGGCATACAAAGAATCAAAACACCTTCACGCGCCTTAGTATGATTACCCAAACGTTCTCGACAGCTCTCAAGGAAACACTAAGATCCATCCATCCAACTAAACAAATACATGGGTCTCTGAAGTCATCTATCTGTTGGTATAGACAGGAAATGTTTTTTTGGTTACTGGCCGTACGGTACTGGCCGGCCAACACGAAATGATTAGATCTACCAGTTTCCTAGTGCTATTAAAAACACTGGTTCCCCGAAAAGACACGGAAGAATCCAGTAACTTCGGTCCCGCTTTTCACAAAAAGAAATCGAAAAATGCGAACACAGCTCGACACGGCGTTTGATTTCTGCTTACTTACGTTGAGCCAAGATGCTTTAAAGTCAAGTTCAGCCTCACTGTTTACCTCGGATGTGCGTTTCTCATGCTTCCTGGTAAAATTGACCTTACCACAAAAATCTGGGATCATGCTTACACGCAGTATAATAAACTGCAAAGCGTAAGCTCAATCGCCCGACCCCACTAAGCACTCCTTAGAGGATCAGGCCTTGAGAAATAATAGGTGGAATGGGATCGCCTTGAACAGTTGAGAAGACAACACAAGTAGACTAACATTGACCTATGGACGATTTTTGAGGTAAGATTAGTGTTGCCGGAAGTTAAGCATTTTCATCTGCGTCTGAGTTCGCGGAATTGCAGTCGTAGACATAGAGTATTATTATTTTTCCAGCTGTCGGGTAAGTTTATTTTTCTCTGCGAAATTTTATTACGGACAACCCCCATTATAAACTAGGTCCACTTTAAAACCGGCTGGCAAGTGAACTCTCCATGGTAAATCCACTACGTTGACTAGGCAGGCGTGGAATAGTACCAGGATTTACACAATTTAAGTAACGTCCGACCCACTAATTATATCATCAGCAAGCAAGACAAGGTGAATGTTGTTATACTGCGTCCGGATAAGAGTGAGTGATCAATATGCTTAATATGCAGCAACAAAACAAACAGCCGTTCAGCTGTAACACTCTATCGGCGCATAGCACGAAGTCTGTAATACTTCCAAATTACCCAAATCTAAACCGCGTTCAGGAAAACCAGAATGTACCCTCCGATCAGTGCCACAAGCACTGGCATAGCACGAAGTCTGTAATACTTCCAAATCTAAACCGAGTTCAGGATAACCAGAATGTACTCACCGATCAGTGCCACAAGCACTGAACTGAACAGATGACTCGTTTATCGAAAAGTTCACAGTTAATAATTTATCCTAACGTTCCCCGTGTAATCATGAGTCTGAAGAAAACCAGAAACAGCTGAAACCGAGGTGAAAAGGAAACAGATTTTACGACTGGAGAGGACCTGTTCCAAAATAATACGATTCCATCAGCACATTTGGCATTGGGGCTGCTTGACGTCACTCGCAAACTTATTCCTGCTTAATAGCATCTGCTTCCATCTTGCCCGGAAAAGGAAGCACTTCTCGAAGCAAATCCAAGTAGCGCGGACTGGCATGGCAACTGAGGACTTTATCGTCATCATAATCACTATTAGGGACAGCAACATCAGTGCTTCACTGCCGCACAAAAATGAGGTTCATCTAATCATATTTGAAGTCTAAGAGTAAAAATAACACAAGAGTGAGGGAGAGGACATGGACTGCCCTGTCGCAAGCATTCTGAAGTGCTTACACCTCCAAGCGGTCAACAAATCTGGAAATTGACAGCACGCCCGCCAATGACATCCACTAGCCATTTCTTTCAAACTCTAGCCAGGCGCGGAAAGGTTCACTGGGATCTCATGCTGCAAGACGTACTTCACCAAAACCTAAACCCTTCATAACTTCTTTCATATTCTTCTGACAAGTCACATGCTGTCCACCTTGGGGTTTGCGCCATTCCGAAGCGGGTATGGTGAACAAAACTCGTCTCGTTAGACAGTTCTTCGGCATGCGTAGCACGCGGCCGAGGCAACGTAGTTGTTTTCCGAGATTGAAGTACCCGCTGCACAACCAAACACTCGTTTTCTAATTATCTCGTTGCGAATTCGTTAGTACCATCCGACACCAGCAATGCCTCTGATTCAACAGCGGTCAAAAACCTGAAGGCGCCTCAGGTCATCGGTCCGTAGAAGCCACATGTCGCAGCCATACAACACAGCTCTTACTGAAATCTCGTAGAGACGACCCAGTGATATGCCCTTTTCGAAACCAGAACTGAGGCGAATTAAACAGTGATTCTGGCCTTTGAGATTCGTCCATTGACTTCATACACACTTCCTTCAGAGCTAATACAACTACCGACGTACGTAAGGCACTCCACAACCTGTCAGAACTGTCCAGAGACCATACGTTATGGAGAACGACTTTGAACTTTGAAGGTGCAAGACGCATGTCGAAAAAACCATTCAGTTTTACCATGAGACAAGCACATACATGACAGTACTTCCATATAATTCCACGCGCGTAGAAGCATTCTGCAGTGATCATCATCATCGACAGCATGACATCAGTGTTCAACACCGATGCTTCACTGCCGTACAACCACGACCTATTTGAAAGCCATATTGTGAAGTGAAGTTCATGAAGTAATAAAATAGCAAACTACATGATAATAACAGGCGCCCAAATCGCCCCGCTGTGACAGAGGAGTTACTGCGTAGTGTTCCTGTGATTATTTAAGATACTCACCTAAGCCCACTCATCACTCGTGTAAGAGCCACTTCGTGAGCTCATGTCAGTATAAATCAATACAAGAGTGCTACTATGCGCCATTTGAATGCAGCCTCAGTACTCCACATTTACGCACAAGCCTTAGCAGGTATATCCTGTACACTGACACAAATTTCACTGCGAAAGGACTCCAACGAAGTTTGGTTACATTGAGTTGGAGATAACCCTAATTGAGACATGCAAACGAGCTTCATGGGCAAACGGATCAAAAGCACAATAAAGACCCTTCCATATGACCATCAGTGTTCTTGTGGATTCGTATCGGAGCATCAGCACGCAAGCCCATTCATGTCGTTAGCGGGATCACCAGTAGATAGGAAAACCAGCAAGCAGCATCAGCAGAAACATCGCACAAGAATACTGATGCTGAAAACTGAGGTAACCTGGTTAAATCAGTCATGAAAACGGTCAAAGCGGACGAGGGGTCAAGTGTACAGGCCTACCACAAAAATGGACTGTTGTATTCGAAAACGAAGAGTCCGATAACATATTTCGAACAGTCTTCGCTTTAGGGTTGGAGCGGGTTATACCAAACAGACTGTTGTATTCGAAAACGAAGAGTCCGAGAACATATTTCGAACAGTCTTCGCTTTAGGTTTGAAGCGGATTGTACCAAACACATCCTGGGAGTTGTTCGGTCAGTCGCCTTAATTCCAAGGTAGTAAACAGCGACGTAGATGACTCCAATTAACGAATTGTCACAGGATCTAACTAAGAGCACGTGAATTCATTCGCTTTGATGTTTATCACTGATTGCATTATGTGATGCGTCCGTCAAGTTCCTCGAAATCCTGACGTTACACACTGGTCCTAGATCTTCTTTGGCGTTCTACACAATATTAACCTCTCATATGCAGTGGCACTCTGAGACGTTCGCATGTAGAGGCCGGCCACATAATAAAAAGCTCTCAGCTATAACATCCTTCCAGTGCCTAGTTGCCATGCCACCCAGAGGAAGCACGAAGGCTGAGATACTGCCAGAGTGCTCAAGCCTGGACCGGAGCAGTCGAGACGCAGAGGTTGAAGTCGAAGCACGGACCTTCCGGCCACATATGGCCTTTCCAGAAAAGTGACTCTTCTGGAGAGGAGGAATTGTATGACTGGGATACCACCTAAAGTGAGCTTGACACTCTTACCTTTCAGAAATATTCAACCATTCAGTTCACCACACTTGCCCGATGGGCCAACATTTTCTTTTTTTCACATTGAGAGGACAAACCTACCGAAATATTTTCGAGTGAATTTGAGTAGAACCTAGAGAACTTTCTAATGTGGATATTGACCGAATGACGGTTTGCCGCTAAAGACCTCATGCAAACTGTGCATTCAGTGAACTGAAGCTACGATGTTTACTTCGTTTTCAATACAGTCGTCACAAAAACCCTCCACGATACCACTGCAAACAGAATCCTTCAACTGCTTCAGTTAGCTTGTCCCCTGAAAGTCGACTCTTCAGGAGATTGATCCAACCAACTAACCAAAGTTGACTGAAAGATGCAGTCTTTTCTAAAATATAAGCTGTTGAACAAGCAAACATGACCGGCCTCTTCCATAGTGACCCCAACAGTGTATTAAAAAGAAGACAGCGAACACTCGGATAACAGTCTCTTCCGTGCAAGCATTTGGATACAGACTTTGTGTTGGCAAACAAGGTCACAAGGCCTGTGATGATGGTACTCCATGATGCATCTATTGCGAGAACCTATTAGAGACCTTGTGCATGGTATGGTGCTTGGTTTGAATCTCAACTTGTGACCAGAAAATGCACGTCGTTTTTCCCGCAGTTGAGCAGACAGTCCCCATATGATCCTTGGTAAAGAAATAAAGGTGATCGCATTGATGCTACGGCGGTTTTCTTCATCAATGCGTGTAGGAAAATGTTCCGGAGTTGAATATGGCATGCAGGTATTAGTTGAGTTTCTGCACAGCCGGATCAAAACTGTGGGGATTGTTTGAAGAGCAAGACGAACACGTCCACTAAAAGAGGCTCACTGGTTTACGAAGACATGTGTACAGGAAAATCATTGGCTATTAGCTTCCAGTTGCTTTGTTTGAAAACCTACCAGTGTAATTTGGAACCTTGTAGGGATTGGAAACGACGTAGTTGCAGCTTGTTACAAGTTAGGACTAATAACCCAACAAACCGCGAACATTTTTCGTAAGTGGAAACACATGACATCGTCACTCACCCCTCAGTTCCTTTCTTGTTGCCAAGCATGCTTGAGGAAGACCCGTGATCACTGCCCTGCGGACGGTCTGAAGGACATCTGAGGAAACCCAGCTACCCTTGTGGAATTTAGACTTACGAGTGTCGAGGTAGCTGTGGCCAGGGCGACAGTTTAGACGTAAAATCTGTAATTCGAACCCGACCTCAGCGTCTTGACTGCTCTTGTCCCCTGACAGTATCCCAGCTCTCGTGCCCCCTTCCGTTGGTATGGCAGTTAGGCACCGAAAGCTGGATATAATGGACATTCGAGCCATTAGGAGCTTCTGTCCGAAGCTGTGTTTACCAATGGTATGCGCATAATTGTTGGGATCCACAGTATGTCGAACCTTTTCAAAAGGGCCGGTTTTCAGTGGTTTCGCACTATAGTTTCCACTTTATTTAGCACGTTCTAAGGCAACTAGGAATTGGGTGTCTTTTCAACTCCGGAATGCACATCACATATGAGTCGAATGGAAGCTACTCAAATCTAGGAGACCGCGTACCATCTCCGATGTCACACGGTTCACTCAGCAGTAAGTAACTGATAACCTAATATATTCTCGCCTGTCGAACGTAACTGTGAAGGTTCTCTCCAAGAAAGCAGGAGCTGTTCCAAAAGAGTAAAGCTGATGAGGCCCACATTCCGCTTACTACTGATTGATGAACTTCATCACCCTGCGTTCGTGTTGCCCCTGGCAAGGGTGCTTCCCATCCAATGTCTTCGTCGCCAAAGACAACCTTGTTCCGGAGCGGGATTCGGGCAAGGAATGACACATCTTCAGGTCAATGACCATCGATGTTTTCGGTGCCCAATTCAAAGTGGCAAAAACCCTGAGCTAGACCAACTGTGATGACAGGCGGGAATGACGGATGTAAGCTCGCCAGCCAAGATAGGGTCCACGTTAACCTCATTGTGCTTGGCCGAAGACTGAGCAAAATGGCGCACGACTGTGGTTATGCATTTGAGAAACCCAGGTAAAAGTGATCAGCTCGAATTGTGATATGACCACGCATACGCTATAGACTAAGCTCGTTGGGTTCGCGAATAGTGTGCAACTAGTGTTGGAGCCGGTTCACGGTGAAATGAAAACCGTCCAAGTTTAGGACCCTTCCGGTGGATAGCTGCCATGCTACCCGAAGGAAGCGCGAAGGCTGAGAAATTGCCAGTTTGGCCAGGAGCAGTGGGAAGCTGACGGTGGATCCGAACCATGGGTCCACCGGTCGGTAAATTCGCGCTGACCTATCTGGATGGAATGTTTTCTTTTGCCCGTACTTGCCGTCTATGGGGTGTGCACAGTACCATTAAAGCTCACGTCGGGAGAGCGAAGCATCGAGTCAAAGATAACCGGGCTAAACCAGAGATAGCTCAGCGGTTAGAGCAGTAAGTTACTGACAGGAAGGTCCGTGGTTCGAGCCCGACCCTTCGTGTTTAGGCTTGGGCGACCTGGCAGTATCCCACCCATCGTACATCCTTTGGTTGGCATTGCAGTTAGGCACTGAAAGGGTACTACAAGTGAACGATATTAGTAGTAGATCGACAACGACTCCATACGAATGAGTCGGACGCACCTCCGTCTAAAGGGTTTAGAACATGCACACAACGGATATTGTTCTTCATGGGGAATAATTTTCGAACTGCAGAAATTTCAAAGGCCCTAACAAGTTCCACCTCGAAGACGACAGAAGGCCTACGTCAACAGTCCCCACACTAAGATTAGAAGCAGTGCGGCGTGCGAAGACGGCTCACTGACATCAACTTGATAGACAGAGGGCGGAACGATGGATCAGCATTCCTGAGTCGACTAACTTACGATAGGCATGGAGAAATTTCGATATCCTGAGCATCATTCCAAATGTCGAATTTTATTGAGGGGTACTGTAAACAAGAGACTATAGTGAATACTACCCATCTACCGTCAACACTGAGTTACCTTGCGAATGAGTGTTGGTCGTCCATTTATCACATAGTTAGCCCGACACAAGCCCTATTAAAACAGGTGCACATATTTCAGCCTACAAGGCTTGAGCCGTTTTCACACTAACGTGTTTCCGATCTGCTAGTGAAGCCCAGGTAATCAGTATTGCCATGCCCTTCCTTCCACTAAATGACTGCTAAACAATTAGTACAGAGGCCAGAAAATCTCGTGAAGCTGACTAATTTGATCTCTGATAAACGTCGCAACTAAATAATGGCGCTATACGACAGACCAGGGTCCAAATCGAAGTACAGGCTTGCTGATATCAGATCTACCGGATTACGCGTTTACCCTTTGCTGTCTCTGACCAGAGGATATCCTAGAGAACGTACAGCGCACGCACTCAAAGGAACGAAAATAATCAGCATAGTATACAGCGCCTGCCATTTTGGCTTGACTCATACACAAGTATTGATGTAAGACCTTGCTTCCCTTGCATTGTTTCCTGTCTTTCAAACGCAGGTGTCACGAAACCTTACCCATTCGCGTTGCCTCCATAACCTACATACCACGCAGCCCAGGAACAGACCTCAGGAAGACGCCTCCATCAACGTAAGGCGCACTAGTTTTCGACTGGGCGCTGCACGCCTCATTGAGCGAAGCATCCATCCACGGTTTCCAGTCGCCCAATCCACGCTGGCTGCGGATTTACCGGAAAAAATGAACCATGCTCACCAAGCTGGTTTGATGCAAAGACGTGATTGGGTGTCTTCCCCCGCAATTATAGTCCAGGAGCTTTTGCATTCAGCAAGGCCACGACAAACTACTACCATGAGCGACGACTAACAAGGGCAAGGAGGTGGCCTTTTTGTCTGTTGCGAAAACCAGTAATGTAGCCACTATCTGGAAATCGGACATGGCTACTTCAGTTGAGTGTGGCGAGTAGTATATCCAGCTAGCTAAATGTGCTGATATACTTCTTACCACAATCTTATATAGCGGTGTTCAAATAATTAGCGCTTTCCTGGTGTTTCGAAAGTGGTTATTCAGCCGGAGATTGGGAATGAATTTTAGTATGCCAGCCTATCCATCTGTCTTACGTGAATGGGTTGGAGCTCCCTGAAGCAAGAGCCTTGAAATGAGAGCGGTTTACCAAAGTGCTACCGAGCAACTTTGCGCCCGGTTCACAGTGAGTTCTACGGTGTTAAGCGCTTGGGCATCCAGTCCAGTCAACATCAGTCACAGGACACTCAAGAAACCGCACGGTTCTGGGACCGTCCCTTCATAATCCAATGGATGATAAAGGTGGGTATCTCAAGTTCGCGATACACTGACAGTAGGGACATGTCTGCCAGACTCGAATCGGCATTCGGGTATCTACACAAAGACATCATCATCATCGACAGCATGACATCAGTGTTCAACACCAATGCTTCACTGCCGTACTACAAAAAGACAATCTAGACAGACCAGTGCTGTTAAAGCGGACGAACACAAGTCAGTCTCGGTAGGTACTTTTGGCGCCGGTTATTTTGCATCGTTCGAAAGGTTAACATTAGCTATAAGAAAGCAGCAATCGGTACCGCGGCCCAACCATGGACCGTCAACTTCCGAACGCCAATGAGTTTACTCAGCATAAACTAGCCTAACCAGAGGGGCCGATTGGACCTAACACCGAAACCTCCGATAGGAGGAGCGGCTCCCAGGACACAGGAACACGATAACACAGCGACAAACCAGTGGATAATTTGCGGTGATTGAATGAATTCGGTGAAACCACAAGTTGCTAGGGCGCTACCAAGCCGGAATTTAATAGTGAAAATATGCGTAAGGGTTATTTAGATACGTTTGTATTTAACTCCAACAAAACAATTTGAACCGAGACAATACTACAGAGAAGCAGTTTGACAAGTTATGCAAATTTTTCGGTTTGGGTGACTGATTCATTTGGATGGACATAAAATGCAGGTCTGGCTTCAGGATTTGGTTGTTTACTGAATTATATAAACATTGAAGTTGCGACCGATGAACAGCTTAGGTAGTTAGCTACCGCTTCCTATGGCGTTTCATTGGTTTTCATTCCTGGACGGGCGTACGGGTGGGCTCGACCTCTGCCCCGGGCGTCTGTTAGACCAACTTTGCCCCATGAATCGTCTTGTCCTAGGTTGAAAATTCAGACCTCAATTAATCCAACGGATTTGACAGCAAACCATAAATACGGATAATCCAACTCACCATAGTTGCTTCCAAATTCTTCATACACGTTCGTACTGTAATCAGGTTGTTCATACATGTTCATTGTAGGGTAAACAGGCGCAGTAGTTCCATTACCGTACACGTCCGGAGCAACAGGTGGAGTAGAAGAGATCATAGGACTTCCGTTGGTAGGTCCTCCCCGGCTGACCCATGGTTTACCTCGACCGCGGTATGGTGAACTAGGCGGTGGGACATGGAAGCCACCACGAGGGTTGGGAGACCGGCCACCTCGGAATTGGCCTCCGCCCCTGGATCCCACCATTGGTGACGTGCCTTGAGGGACCCACGGTGGTGGTGGACACTCGTTGGATTCCTAACAGAGTAATCGGATAAGTGAAAATGCACCTACCGGCAACATTACTTTCCGGAGTTCGGCGAGGGCATGCGATAGTCTGTAGTATGCTTCCGACGGAGGGGCCAAGCTATCGACTTGTAAATGCAGCTTTTGCTTCAGATGCTGATACTTAGGATCCCCACTGGAGAGCAGCTCACGTTCCTTTGAGTCATCTCGAAGGGAACCTGCGCCCAAGATTGCCATCTTAGTTTTCGTGCTCTCCTGGGTGGCCCGCAACGTCTGGCCGCCCGGACCGAGGAGCTTCCCCACAAAATTGACTCCCGGGTATTGTGAACTGGGAATTTCTATTTTTGCCCGAATTTTCACCTGTCTATTGGATACAATGTCGATCGACTCAGCAATGCCTCCACGGAGGCGGAACAATTCTGCGAGATTTTAGGGGAAGGCACTAAATAACTTACCATTTTCAGCAAGGGCGTGTAAGGCTGGAAATGCCTTTTCATCCAAATTTTTCAACTCTCTTACAATCGCTTCAATAGCACCAGCTTGTTCCGGCCTCGGCTCACCAACTTTCATCATGGTCGCAATGGCCGAATCGCGCGTTGTTCAGGTCAGATAAACAAATGCAACAAGACGACCGAGATGAACAACCTAATCTGGAATATACGTGGGAGCCAATCAAAGGTCGCAACAGGGTTTTCGTTGATTCTGATACCCCGAGTTTAAGGTCGATTGAGAGTTCCAGCGCGTGGTTTGAAAATCACCCGAAGATCCCATGTCGCAGGGTCGTTCACTATTCGAACAATGGGATTGATTTCTCGAAATCTACGACATTTTCAGGCTTTCCACTTCATAATGTAGAAGGTCTTTGTATATTGTATATGTTTCTTTATTACTGAAAATGATTGACTATGGTGATTTGTTTAAGTGAGCGAGTGCTGAAGGTGTGTAAACACCGACTGTGAATATGTTGCCTGATGATAAAAAATCGCGAATTGTGGAAAACGTTGACTCACTTACAATAAAAGAAACTTTCAGGTAGTTTTTCACCGGAAAAAATTCCCTGAACATTCTGGAATCTAAACGACTTTTGGAGATGCAAATTATGCGTAGGTGCATTCGTGCAAACAAATTTTGGTCGATGATTACTGTTGCAAGTTGAACTTCCGTAGTCCACGTTAATTATTCGCTAAAAGTCGTGCACGCTTGCTGGCAAAACGTGGAGTTTTTCATTATGGGTTATACTATAGGTATATATATAGGCTATGCTAGGAAGACATAGAGCTTTATGGATCAGGAACATGGAACCTACGTCGATCATACCGGACAGCTGATCGAACCTAACTGACGCACACGACCAACACGCAGCTAGGGGTACACGATGTTGGAGCGCACCTATCCATCTGCACCGGAGAAGAGGCTCAAAATGGACGTCATGAAATTTTGAGATTTTTTGATCGTTTTGAGGTGTACATATGCCCTTCTGGGATGCGATTTTTTTTCTTCGTGAGGCGTGTTCATTTGGCTGTTGACGTCCTGAAATGAGAGGAAGATATAATTCAGGCTATCAAAATATCACCAAAAGGTGGGTGGCCGACAAATCTGTAGAGATAACCGAAAATGCACTCCAGCGACAATGCTGTCGTAGATGCCTGTCCACACGATGCCATCTTCAGCGGCTATTTGGCAGACCTTTTTACTGCATGTCTCAAGAAATGCCAGACTTACATGAAATGCATGGGGTCTCATTAACATGCCATCTGTCCGGAGCTGTTTGGTCACATGAAATCATCTCTTTCATCCAGCTGGCGCTCTTCAGCGTTAGTCGTAGTTGTCAGACATTTACTTACGGCTGTCGAGTAGCTCCTCTTTGGATACGAAAACACGGACACACACAGACTTCCGGGACATTGTGCTGGGACTCTGTGGTTTGGTCCAGGTCAACATCAAAAGAAGCCCTCTTTGCAGACCGGGTAGCAAGCACACCTTTGCTTTTCTTGGATGGGCCCGGGGCTAAGAACCAAAAGTAACTTATTTTCATGTGGACTCACTTTTGGGAAAAGCCTGAAGAGCACCACTAAAAAGCGGGCAAGGTTCACCATCACAACATTCGCGGTGATATAATGCGCGATCGGTTGCACACCAGCGGTCACTGTTAGTAGTCGGTCGGTCACAGAGCAAACAAAAGCCCAATCAGTGTAAAATCCGGACGGTTAAGGATCTCACAGGACGATTGCGACTATTAGATTATACGCAGTTTGTAGCCAATAATCAATAGGAGCAGACAGACGTGGGGCAGCAGATGATATATTGAAGGCTGACAGGAACTGGTTCTACAGAAAAAACGGATTAGTAAGCATCATGAATTAAGAAAACGTACAATGAACAATGACGCCATCTGCAGGAGCGGGAAGTAGTCACTGTCACAGCAGGGATTTCTATAGGGGCAACAAGAAGTACGCACCAAACGATGTACAAACATACATATCGGGGCAGTCTGACAGTGCGAATTGGCCGTAACGGCGCAGGAGTCAGTACGTTCGGGATGTGAGGGACTGTCTTTCAGTCGGCGTCGACGCAGCCGCTCGTGTCGCGCGACAGGTCAGATTACGCGGTTTCGTCCGTTTAAAACAAAGCTCAGCAAAGGCTATCTGGCAGGCGTGATACATGTGTAATACAAAATAACCAGCACCTCCGGGTGTCGGGTTGGTGTAGTCGGTAGTGCGTCCGCCTGTCGTCCGCAGGATCCGGGTTCGATACCCGGTCAGCCCACTTTCCCGTCGGAGTGGGCGCTCAAGAAATAGGTGCAATCGAGGCGAACTTGCAGGCCATGACAGACGGGCAACAAACATTGACATCACTTACTGAGGGATAAGCAGACCATAAGTAAGAACAAAGCGTGGGGAAAACGAGCAGCAAGACAACGAAACGGTGCCATAATAAACAGGTGTAAGTCATGTTTCCCGTGAGTAGTCAGAAAACGAGGAAAGTTACCCTTTTTCACCGTTGATTCACAGGGGGAATCAACAGTCAGCTTTCCTATACCGCCATCTGGGTTGAGGTGCATTAACCTCGACCACCAACGCCAGGTCATCAGTTGCAGACTTTGGACCTTGACACAGCAAGATTTGTCCCTGAACAATCAGTCGTTTAAATGTGGCTGTGGCCCTCCTGGTTTCCAGCCTCTGAAGCTTGATAATAATAGTTTTTATTCACAACTTGTGGGCGGCATACCGTCTGGCATGACCATGCGTTTACAGTCACTCGGTTCAGTTGTTTAAGAAGGCCTTAGAAAGCTGTCGGCGGTGGTTTGGGAACGAGTGTAAAGGGTACACCTTTTTCCGGTGGGTTGTAATCCGACAGCCATTGTTGGTGGATTGGGAAGCCAGCTAAGAAAAAGCCAACGATAAATAGTTCTTACTGCTCGCAGCGGGCTGCTCTGAAAATGCAGATGACAGGTGTATGCATGGGATCCACATCGCGTGGTAGAAATGGCATGTGCATTCTCCACCACAGGTGTCAACACTCTGGGACCATCTGCTTGTTTGCACGACAAACTATAATTTAGTTTATCTAGATTGGCTTAACTGGAAGCCGGTCTTACAGAAACTTTGACAACTTGCGGTTGTGTTCAAGAAAATAAAAGGTTAATGCCAGTTTGTTCCCTCGCCTCCGTAGGCAAAACCGCACTGGACAGCTGGTGCTTCGCGCTCGGTCCACCAGCTTCTTCGGATTCCCCGGCTTTCTGTTGGACTTCATGCATTGATTTTGGGCCTTCTCAAATGCCGTGTAGGATGGAAGCGATACGCCCACAAATTCCTCAACGAACGAGTGTGAAGCCACTTCCGAAGCCATAACACACGGAGTTCAAAGCCGAATGTGCGCCAATAATTTTATAAAGGGACTGAATAAAACAAATCGTAAAAAAGTGACAGCAGATGGGGGTGATTTTTTGAATGAGCACTTATGCAAAAAGTGCAACATTTTGACGTTAAAGTTTTTATTTTACCCACAGGGATTTTGCAGAAAAATGCATTGTACGTCGAAGGCGTGGCATGTCGCAGGGCGAGTCCCAGATGTGCACCCTAAATTTCTCTAAAGCCGTGGTTCAAAAGAGGGGGACTTTAACTTAAAGCTTTGGCATTTGATGGTAATTATTCCAGCGCACAAGACCTCCCCGCGTGGCCACAGTTTTCTTGGAGGTTGTTTAGGAGAACTCGAAGTCTACAGTGTGCGCGAAATTCGTGTTTCAATGGCTATCAGTGGCCTGAACCATTGTCTCTGTGAAGACGGTGAGAAACGTAGTGGAAAAGCTGATTTTTCCTCCTGTTTTCTCACGTGTTAGGTTTGGAAATGCTAGAAAATGCTTAGACAATTATCACGGCCGTTACGTCCTCGCAAACTTTAAATGGAACGACCATTCCTTTGTGGTTGCGGCAAGCGTCTCGCCAAAGCCAAGGAATTCATCACAGCTAGTAAGTTTTTTGTTTTCTATAATGGTCAGCAAACGTTACATCTAGCTTAAGGCAGGGTTTGTCGTTCACTGATAAACCGAATGGGCAGAACGAGCAGACGGCACAATTAGATGACCTCTGCTTTCAAGTCCTTGCACAAATTAAACAGACCGGGACGGTCCTGTAGGTAACACGCTCGTCTGGGAGGTATAAGAGATATAGTGAAATACGGTAAGCCATCATACTGGGTATGGTAGTCGTAGAACCGACATCGCGACGCCGTACTATGGTTCGTGGACAGCCCCCTACATGAACATATTGTATGGGCCGTTTAAGGTTGTCATGGTGAATGGGATATTCTTGGGTCCATCGGGGTTTCACGGTGGTTTATTACTGCCCTGCAAACGAGGTGAGAAGACAACCGTGTCCACATTAGAGACTCAAAGTATGAAAAAAAATTCCGAAAGGTTTGCTAGAAAACACCTTTCTAGGAGTTGCGATGCTTATAAAATAACAGATAGTCAAAAGTTTTCACAATTCCTAATTACTTGAATGAGGTGACACCGTCCGATTTCAAAAACGGTGATCGATATTTACGTGTAGATAATACGTATGCGGTCGATGCAAACTGGTGAGGACGTAGTTGACTATGAAGGATGTGCATTGGCCAGATTATGCGCAACTAAGGTGGCTCGGAAATTGCAGAGACACGAGATCGAAGATATCTGGGGGTGTTGCCTGTTCGTACGATGAGCTCACCTCAGAATGTAGCTGTTGAAGCCTAAAGAAAGGCGTGGAGCTTTGCAAAACCAGTTGCCTCCGGGGCGTCGTATAATGTGTATGTGGTGAGGCTTGTGGCGTCTTTTCCCTTTCTATCAATGGATAATTCGTTTTATAGGGCGATTGCTCTGGATGTATGCCACAACCAGGACAAGCTTAGATAGGAATCAATTTTCCCTTCATTGCAGAAGGCGGATTAAGAGGTTCACCATGCGGAAAGTGTGTATTTTGGAAGGGCACACAGTTGAAGTGAGAGTTGTCAACCATAAAGTCTTGCATCGTCGTGGGCAGGAGGTGCAACAGGGGTGGACAGGTAACGGAAATATATAGGGAGCTCCAAAAGCT